AAAATGCAGTGTTGTGAGAATAACGTCACATGTTTACGCATATGTTTTGAACACAGGCCAAGTACAGTGGCCTTTAAGGGTCAAACTGCTTTTTTCGAATTACTCGGTTTGTGCATTCTCACGAATAAGATCAATCTTCACATGACACCATTCTGTTTTGTTTTTTTAAACCTATATATTCAATTTAAAACAAATGTGCACCTCGGGTTGGGGATTTTAAATGAGGGGGAGGTGTTAAGTGGCAACGAGCCCACTGGGGAGACCACTTCCTGAAAAAAAGAGACAGGAGGCTGACGGGAAGACAGGCTCGGCCCACATAGGTGGCCCGGATCTGGATCAGGTCAAGCTCGCGCTGGGACACAACATGCCAGCTAATCTCTCGTCCTCTCAAGTCTAAACCCATCAACTTCTTCAAAGTAAAAAAAAAAAAAAACTAATGCCAACTTTGACCCCATGCGCCTCATTAACAGTTTGTCGCCGCTGCACAATAAGTATTTAAAATGGCTTTTGAAAATGAATCCGAGAAGAAGATTCTGATGAAAGACGGAGCTGTGATTAAGAAGGAAACCTCGCATTGTGAAAGTTCCGATTAATTAAACCGTTCTGTGCTTGAATTCACACTGTAAATGCCCCTTTATGACGCTCCCAGACAGCTACACTAAGTGAAATTTGCTTTTGAAACAAACTCGGCCCGCAAATAATGTGCTGATAGGATCTCTGGCGCGTGGGCGTTTCGGCAGAAACTATCGAATGATTCCGAGCCATTATATTACAGATGCAATGCTACACGTTGCCTTGGAAAATACAATAAAATCCAAATATGAAGTCACTGTAGCTGAACTGCAAATTGTACGTTAATAGAATAATACAGCTCCGGCAGACGGATCGGAAGTGTTATTGTCTAAAAGTTGGGTAAAGGGTAATTAATTTGGCTCATTCAATGTTTTGTTGATGAGAATTGTAATTTATCTCTTTTTTTTTTGCCTCCTCCCTTTCACTCAGACATCCACACGGTCGACCCCCCCACTCCCACCCCCAGTCGTCATTGTCTGAATATAAATGGAGGTGGTGTGCTGCGTGTACAATATCCACAGACGGTGAATCCGGCTCCACATTGTTGAATGACATGCTTGGTTTTGCTGCGGGGCAGAAAAGGCGCACAACAGTGCAAACGCACCATGAGCACATGTTAAGGTATGACTTGGGGTTTGGAAGTGACGCATCATGCCCAGATTTATTTGAAATGTTTTCTTCAATGTGTGTGTGTGTGTGTGTGTGTGTGTGTGTGTGTGTGTGTGTGTGTGTTGCAGTAACACAATAAATCAGTGGCACTTAGGACGAGGGTTTGACTTAGCCTTGTAACTCGCACATGAATGATTGCTTGCTTCATTTGAACGTCTAAGTGGGGGTAAAAATAAATAAATCCTAAAATACAGTCACGTAAATAAGATATGAAAAAGAAAATGGAGGAAGAAAAAAACAACATCATTTGACAGGGTTCAAAATGTAGCAGGAAAGTAAAAACTTTTTAAACAACAATTTATTCATGTACAATAGTCCTAGCCTATTATATAAATCTACCCAAGTGATCATACATAAGACAGCTATTTGATTTTTATGTTTGAGATGTTTTATGTTTGTTAGTGTGTGCGCAAGCGAAGCAATTAAAGCACTCAGTGACTTCACATAGACGCGACGCCTCTTTCCTTCTCTCACTATGCCTCAACCTCGTCCAATTACATAACCAGATTACAAATAAATTCCGTAGGACCTATCTTAAGCTTTATTGCCTGCACGCACTTGCTGTAAATAATGCTAAGACACTCAAGTATTAGGCCCAAGAGTTCTCACAGAATCAACAGAAGATTAAAAAACAAAACAAAACGATAACATTATATCATACAATCAATATACAGACGAGTAGTGAATGGGCAACCATTTTGGGGAGTGGGAAAATTCAACGTCAATAAGCGCCCGGTCGAAAAGTAGCCATCATAATTGCCTTCTATATATAGCGTCGACCTAAATTTGTTTGGGATATGATACAAAATACTGTATATCGACAACATTGATGTCGCTCTAAGGAGGTTTCAAAAAAAAAAAAAAACCCCACGTGAATGCGCGGCAGTTGGTATTAATAACTCCATGCTGCCACCTTATGTCTGTAGTTTTCCATTGCGCCCTCAATTTCTGCCAATAATATGGATCTTTTTTTTTTTTTTCACTCACGGGAAACTGATTGCAACTCAACGCTGTGGAACTCCCGCACTGTTATTGACATATGATTGTCTTTACCGTGCTTGGTTTTTAGTTAGGTGATAAAACACAAAAATGGATGCTGAATATCATCTCGCCTTATTGAGAGTTAAAAAAAAAAACAAGCATGTTGTGTCTATTCAGTTTGAGAGTCAAGAACAACAATGAAGTACTAGAACAGATGATATTGCTGAACAAAAGTTTTACAAAAGTACAGATTTTAAGTAAATAACAAAATCGTGATGATGTAACTGAACAGAGGTACGGTGGTTGTAAAAAGTCTAAACACCCCGGTTCAAATGCCAGGTTTGATTTTCAGCTTTTTCCATCATTTAATATGAGCTGCGACCAGTGGAACTCCCCAAAAACAAAAACATTGAGAGGGGATGTCCTGTTGCTGGTAACGTCAACGCTGTGCCATATTTTCTCGACTTTTTACGACACTTGTAAGGCGCATTCCGATTTTCCATTGTCATCCTCACGCATTCAAGATTTGTGCATTGCATAGTTGTTTTTTCCGGATCACATAAAACCACAGATAAAGCGTGAGGTGAGGCACACAGAATTCTGCCTCAACATTGTGGCAAGCAGCCTCTTTCAGTGACGCTCAGTAACACACAACAGCCTTTTAAATCAGGAATTAGTCTATTTGTGCCTATTTAACTGTTCCAACTTGCTGAAGCTGAAAAAAATATATACGATCCAAAGGTTCATTGAGAGTTCGGCCAAGTTTAGAAGCTGCATTGTGATGAGAAGCGTGTACTATATATTTCTCCTTGAAATGTCACATCAAGCACAAGGAGAGCAAGAAGACAACAGAATTAATAATTAATAGATACATGTCCACATGAATGACAACGCAGGTGAGGGTAACTGAGAGCCCCACGTGAATGCGCGGCAGTTGGTATTAATAACTCCATGCTGCCACCTTATGTCTGTAGTTTTCCATTGCGCCCTCAATTTCTGCCAATAATATGGATCTTTTTTTTTTTTTTCACTCACGGGAAACTGATTGCAACTCAACGCTGTGGAACTCCCGCACTGTTATTGACATATGATTGTCTTTACCGTGCTTGGTTTTTAGTTAGGTGATAAAACACAAAAATGGATGCTGAATATCATCTCGCCTTATTGAGAGTTAAAAAAAAAAACAAGCATGTTGTGTCTATTCAGTTTGAGAGTCAAGAACAACAATGAAGTACTAGAACAGATGATATTGCTGAACAAAAGTTTTACAAAAGTACAGATTTTAAGTAAATAACAAAATCGTGATGATGTAACTGAACAGAGGTACGGTGGTTGTAAAAAGTCTAAACACCCCGGTTCAAATGCCAGGTTTGATTTTCAGCTTTTTCCATCATTTAATATGAGCTGCGACCAGTGGAACTCCCCAAAAACAAAAACATTGAGAGGGGATGTCCTGTTGCTGGTAACGTCAACGCTGTGCCATATTTTCTCGACTTTTTACGACACTTGTAAGGCGCATTCCGATTTTCCATTGTCATCCTCACGCATTCAAGATTTGTGCATTGCATAGTTGTTTTTTCCGGATCACATAAAACCACAGATAAAGCGTGAGGTGAGGCACACAGAATTCTGCCTCAACATTGTGGCAAGCAGCCTCTTTCAGTGACGCTCAGTAACACACAACAGCCTTTTAAATCAGGAATTAGTCTATTTGTGCCTATTTAACTGTTCCAACTTGCTGAAGCTGAAAAAAATATATACGATCCAAAGGTTCATTGAGAGTTCGGCCAAGTTTAGAAGCTGCATTGTGATGAGAAGCGTGTACTATATATTTCTCCTTGAAATGTCACATCAAGCACAAGGAGAGCAAGAAGACAACAGAATTAATAATTAATAGATACATGTCCACATGAATGACAACGCAGGTGAGGGTAACTGAGAGCAGGAGCGGGTGACATCACCGATGTTGCCTCCGATAACACCGGTCATCAAGTATGTATGGGGAACTTGTAAATGACATTACTCTCTGTCCATATGGGGTGCTTGGTTGATGACGGTCACGCCATACAACACTCTGAGGTTGTGAAACGGCGCTATGCGTAAGAATACGTCGGTGAAGAAGGCACACCCAATTACTGCAGCAATTACAAAGGCCTTGGAATGCTTTTCATCCTAATATTTACACAAACTCTTAGTTTGCCACAAGTAAGATGATGTCTGGACAGTCAAAAACACTTCAAATCAACAATGTCAGAAAACTGTGCTCAATTATCATTGAAATTTATACGTTATGTTGGTGAAGACTTGAAGCTTTTTCTCTTTAGAGACCGCTTACGGGGAAGAAAAGGCTTGATGTCCATAAAATATTAAATGTTGGGATGATCGTTCAAATGTTTTCAGGGTGTTTAAGTGGGCATAAGTAGAACTGTAGACATTCATTTTAGAATTTTTAGTCCTCTGATTTCTTCCCAGCAAAAAAATAAGCTTCCTTGGGGACTACTTGAATAGAATCTACACGAGAGTCAAAAGAAAATCTCAATTTGGGGGAGGGAAAAACGGAAACCCTGTGGTGCTTTTGACTCATACAGTATGTTAAAAACACATGGGAATTATTTAAAATTGTGCTAGAAAATATTTTCTTCAAAACATGACAATATTTGGAAGGGCTCTTCTTTTTCTTGTTTTATCAACACTCCAGAAACACGTGAAAACACACACACACACACACACACACACACGCACACACTCCTATTGTGCACTGCATTGGTTTGAACAGCGCTGTTTACAATGTGAGGAAATGACGTCACAATGTTGTGAATTGCTAATAAGCGTCCACAGTTAACACACTGACAAGTCACTTTGACTCAACCTTTCTCCACTGACCCTCTTCTCAGGAATACATTTGAGGCAACGTGAGAGCTCTTCATGTCCTCACACTTTCTGTCACAGTACGTGAACTCGTCGTTTTGTTCAACAAGCCGAGGATGCTCGCTTTGGCTAGCCCGTTAGCAAATTAGCTAACTCACGACACCCTGATAGCTCTTTAACAAATGCAAACTTACCAGTTATTTCCCGTCGAAGGTGACGTTTGAGGTTGGGATGAAGGTTGGCGTTGCCGAGTGAGTAGAGGTTGAGAAAATCTCTGCGTCGTGGTGTCAGTGTGCTGTGAAATGACACAAGAGGTTAGCCTTGAGTTAGCAACGCTGCGTCGCTAACCGTACGCTTTGCTATCTGAGAAATGTTGCTGAATGATAAAATCTCAACATATGCGGGCGTTTGAAGACCGAGTTTCGTGCGTTATGCTTATTAGTTTAGATAAATAAACGCATGTATTGGTTGAACTGAAAATGAGACAAGATACCCCGAACGCAAAGTAGTCTGCTACATGCTGTCGTCAAAATTCGAAACTTATTTTTAAAAAGTGAAATAAATAATGTGTCGTAATAAATTGTTTTGTAACTTGTTCATGTAAGTGTCCCCTATTTGGTCTGATGACAGGGTGGGTGCGCTTGGTATGGGGTCAGCCGAACCACTCCCACGCAAATTTCTCTGTGAATTTCCTCCTCTGTTCAGTTAGAAAACCACCATGGACCTCCACAAAATCATCCACGGTGCGTTGCACGAGTTCTTACAGACTTACATCCCCGATGCAGATCTCAGGTAAGCTTTGACGACGTTTTTAATTGCTTTATTTCAGGGGGTAGGGAATTCCAGTTCCTCGAGAGCCATCTCCCTTGACTGTTTAAGATCCTTCCCTACTCCAACACACCTGATTCAAACAATCAGCTCATCAAGGATCCTGGTCATTTGAATCAGGTGTGTAGGGAGAGATCTAAAAAAGACGGGATCTGGCTCCCGTGGAACCAGACTTCCCTATCCATGCTTTATTTGAATCGTGTGCAGTTATCTGTCCTCAGTAGTAATCTTCTGTATGCACTCAGCACACTGGACGATGTCCTCCTGTCCTACATCACTGGAGTCCTGGAAGATCTCGGCTCCCAGCAAAGTGTGGAGGAGAACTTTGACGTGGAGGTCTTCGCCGAGATGCTGGAAGCCTACATTCCAGGATTTGCAGAAATTGATAGGTCAGAACAACACTTGAGACAACGGCTGTCAAACTCTGGTCATCGAGGGCTTCAGGATCGTGATAAGGCTCCTGCAGATTTTGCTGATGAGGTTTTTTTGTTTTTCTTTTTTTTAATCTGACCCTTAAGGGTGAAGGGACCCAAAACATGTTTATCCATGAAACATGTTTTAATTAATTGGCCGATACTTCAGCTACCATAAGTTTGTTCTGCCAATTATCTGAATCGACATCGGCCTCAAAAACTCCAAATCGGTTGGGCCCGAGTCGGTCGGTGTCCTAATTATATGTCAGTTATGTGGTTTTGTCAAAATATTACCGAATCACGATCAGGGCTGCAGATGCAATAGAATCAAATATTTTACGGATTGTCCCATCAATTCATCATTTTATCAGAAGATAAAATTTGTTTTTGCAATAATAAACAACAAAATTCCCACATCAGGTCCTGACATTATGATTGACATCTTGAGGTTGCTGTTCTCATGTTCCGTACTTTAATATCTATAACATTGAGTGTGTGTGGCTTTAAAAGGCGTGGCCACGCCTGGTGAGTGACATGGGAGTCAGTGAATTAAGAGTGTTGGCTGTTGTGAGCTCAGTTTAGTGGCTGGCTGTTAGTTAGCCTGGGGGTGGTTAATAAAGCGTATTATTACGTGTGTATTTACTTACCATGTGTTCAATAACACGACTGAAAGTAGACAGGCAAATGGGGGCTCTCCTTGACAACTTGCATGACAATACATTCTTAACTAGCGGTGGGCGGCTTCAATAAATTCACATTGATTCCTTGTGCGGTGGTACATTGATTAGTTCTGAAGACATTGCAGTTTCACTGGTCTAAATTCCATCTCCTGTTGTAACTGTGTCGTGGTTTTTATGTTGCAGTGTCAAAGTGTGCGAAATGATGTTTAGTCTGGCGTCCACGCTAGCTACAGCTCGCACCTCAGGTAATTCTTCTGCTCCCTTTTTTTATAGTGTGGCTATGCGGGGCGCTGACATTGATACTCATATGTGAATGTGTTCCTTTCTAGTGAGTGGAGAAAATAGCGTGCCAAAAGCAGAAGACGGCTCATTGAAAATCGCCTCTCACCGGTCAAGTGAAGCCCCAACTGGCAGGGAAATGCAGTGCCTACAAACACAGACAGAGGGCGCCACAGCCGAGGTAATGCAGCTGTTCGAACATGTCTCGAACTTCATAATAGGAAAATTCTGTGGCAATAACATTCGAAAAGAACTGACGCTGAGCCGGAATGGATTGAATTGTTGAAATATAGATTGTCAGACTTCAAGTTGAATTGGTTGAGAAATGTGGAAGGAGAGAGATTTAAGTATGTCAAGTTTTCTTAGCTTCCAGTATCCGAATTGGAAAGTCAAGAGCAGCACTTGCTGGAGATGTTTCCCAAGTGCAGTCTGTCCGAGGCCCGCAGCGCTCTATCTATTGCCAAAGGGGACATGGAGGAAGCCGTGCGCCTCATCATCGAGGGCGACGTCCAACTCAGCCCCACCCCGCTCAACGTGAGTATCTCCATTTTGCTTCATTTGTCACTCGCGTCAATGTTAATGTTAAAACTTGTAATGAGGGGGGAAAAAAACAACTAATTTCTCTGGCATCAGGTAAATCAAGGGAAGAATATCTCCTCTGTGGCGGATCAGAAACTGAAAGAAAGCATCCTTGAGAAGTAAGTGACTAAGTAAAAGGTACTTTCTGCAGTTGAATTGATGATTTGAATTGAATCATATTCTGTAATATCTTAAATGAACAATTGTGATCTGTTTTTATTCATATCTGACAAATGGTCCAAACGATTTCTGCTGCGAATAAACGCCTAGTTGAGTCTATTAATGAGGTAGCACTATAAAAAAATGTTAAGCAAAATAGTAAAAGAAATACATTATTCGAAAAAGGCAATTGTACAAATAAAGGCCTCCGTTCACTTCAGTATATTTGAATAAATACCATATACAGTCTTCAGGTTTTGTTTTTTTTTTTTGGGGGGGGTGCATAATTTCTTTTCTCTCCTCTGCTCTTATCCTCATTACCTGTTATGCTCGACGATTGAGTTAAAGGCTTACTCTCTTTTAAACGCCTTACCCCCAATAAACGTCAGGTATTCTCGACACTTGATCATAAGATAAGAACTTTTATTTGTCCCACAATGGAGAAATCTACAGCAGCAAAATTGAAGGTTTGAAAGTAGAACAAGAAAACAAAGTATTGCATGCATAAAATAAATGTTTAAGAAAAATGAACTGTTCATTTTATTTGTACAAAAATACAAAGCCTACCCCGTAAAAGTGCTGACTGCTAATAAATGCCTTGTATTATCTGAAGTTGACTAGATTATTTTTAATACACAAACAAAAGCCTTCGCTCCCTTACAGCGCTTTCCTTCCGCCTAATAAACACCAGGTACAATCGGTGCAGTTGATTATTTTAATGGCAGCAATAAAGGCCCCCTCCCTTCTGAACACCTCGTTCCTAATAAGCACCCAGCATTGTCTACCGTTGAGTTAACAATTTGACTCACACAAATAAAAGTCCGCTCTCACGTAAACGCCTAACTGTGAAAACAAATAAAGGCCTCCTCTTTTATACACGCCTCACCCCTAATAAGTGCTTGGTACGTAAATTTACTCCACTTGGCCTACTGACTTTACACGTTTTAGTGGCCACTTATTGCTTGGAAGATCTCGTCATGTAGCTCAATGCGAAGATAAAATGTTAAAAAGGGGCGGGGCGTTTTGCAGGTACATGCTGGTCGACAACGAAGAGGACAAGAAAACGCATCGACCCGTCGCTCCCAAAGAGGTACCGAATACATCCACATATCAGCCGTCGGCAAATGCTTGTCTCATTTTCACGCGCCTTGTGTTTTCAACGGGGGCCGGGCAGGCTCCCAAAAAGCTGGTTCGCTACCACGGCAACCAGGTGGTGAGCACCAAAGGGGAACGCTATCAGGTGGTGAAGAAGAACGAGGCGGACGACATGAAGAAGACATACGTCAATCTCAAACCGGCTCGCAAATACCGATTTCATTGACAGCGCGGCGGCGATTATGCACTGATATGTTGATTCATTTTGTGTTTTATTTATACAAGTGCTCTGGTTTGAATTGGATTTTTTTCTCCTTCCGCAAATATCGTGAGCTTTTTTAATAATGTTACCATATATAGTGGTTTCCTGTTACATTTCATTTGAGTTTTGGTTGGAGTTTTTTTTTTTCTTTTTTTATTATTGCATATTTTGTAAAACCCTTCACTGTTTATTTTTGTTGTTGTTGTTTTTTTTTTTTAACAGTCCTTAACTTTTTTTTTGAGTGTTGAAAGGAAGCAACAGTTGTTCCATGCCTATTTGTGATTTGCTACTTGCGAATCTGCCCCTGCACCAAAGCCCTGTATAAAGAAAAGTAGTGCTTTGGTGCCATTTTGTGGCATCTATATAGACTTATGGATCATTCGTGGGGGATTTACTACAACAATTTGTGAAGTTTTAGTGGTGCTTTACATATTTTCTTCATTCAACTGCTTATACTGTACATAAGAGATCACTGATTTTTTTTTTTTTTTTTTGGGCTGTGCCGCAAATCAGGAGACTGATTTCTGATCGCTTGCACTGTGGTTTCCCTCCAGATAAATCATTACACATATTATTGTACAGTATCTTGAACGAGTGTTTCTGAGGCACTCTGTGTTTTAGACTTGCGGGTATATTTATTATTAGATGACAACTTTTCTATTACTGCGCCAACACTCGGATAAAAGAGTCGAGTCTGTATAAGCTAAACGCGTCTCCGTATCATTTCAATTGAGAAATAGGAAAGAGGAATAACAAATGTTGGTGCCTGATGAAAAACACGTCGGTAGGAATTGTGGTTTTATTCAAAAGAAAACCTTACCAATAAATATAAAGCCACAAAATTTGGAGACATGTTTTTAATTGGACAATAAGCTGCATCAAAAGTAACATTTGAAGACGCCAAGAAATTATTTACAGCGGTGCCTTGAGATAATTGTTGAATAAATTCCAAAACCGTGCATCTTTCTATATTGAAATCCAATTATTATTTTTTTTTTAAATGAGACAACTTGCATTTTATAAAATTGTTTAAAACAGTTTTTGTCATACTATTTTCTTCAGTTGAATGGACATATGTGTTGCTTCCCCGGGTGTGTGCACCTGGGACAGGATAACGCGTACATAAGGATTTTCAAATATATACGAAGACATACCGTATATATCCTTTGCAATCAGACAGTCGTGCATCACAAGTCGTTTTTAAAGAATTATATGACTGAGTATTATATTTGTCTACGTGTTGCCTCACCGTTTGTGTTCAAATATATCCATTCTAACTCAGCTACAGAGATACTACATTAGCCCGGTTATGGTGTTTCGCATTGAGTTCGCTTTACCATTAAGCAAACAGACTTAAAGGAGTCTTGTCATTTGTATCTCAAGGCACCACTGAAATTCTCACATTGCTGAGTGTGTGTTGTGAAAACTTTCAGGATGTAACTTGGTAATCTTCAATCATGACATTTTTAATTGTTTTTTTTTTTTTTTTAAACCATTTGGAGTGAGCTGTTAGCCAATGTTCCAACACTGGTCAATTGTATTTCTACTGGATACTCTTTATTTCCTAATTAAATAGCAGCGTTGGTGTCTGTGACTGACATGATGATCGGTTTTACTGTAATGCGTGCAGTGGCTATTGGTTGAACTTGTAACGCCTCCTTGCTTAAATGAAAACGCACAATTTATAGTAAAGACTAATTTTGTAGACTATAATGTTTCACTTGTTTCATTTCTGCCCAAAATGACAAAAAAAAAAAAAAAACACAGTATCTCAGAATTTTTTTTTCTAATCACGTCTTGGTATTTGAGATCCAAAAATTAAGTCCAAAGAGAAATGCTTTTTGTTGGGACGACGTCTTCAACAATGTCACAATACATTAATCTGCAAACATTATTTAATGATAGAAACAACACAAAAAAACCAATTGAGTTCAATTCAGTAAATAACACCATCAACAGAAATTGTGTAAAATTGTGAAAAAGACGCAACTCCAAATTTTGTCAAATTGTATCCATCCACATTCAATCTCACAGAAGTGAGAGGCCCACATGCGGACCAGAAGTCCACCAAGCCGCAAATTCTAAGCCCAAAAATGTTTTTTCAGTGTATCGGATTGTTTTAGGTACAAAAACAAAATTTGGAGATGCGCAAGTGCTTTTTTTTTTTACTGTTGTAGTACGTTTTGACAATCCAAGCAAGTTGGGAGCAGCGTGTGAACCGGAAGTGTAAACAAGCAACAATTAAAAACACTTCATTTGTATGGTGAGCTTTGGTGAACCGGAGTTGAGTTACACAGTAGCTGACGTTCTGCAGTACACTCTAAGATCCACCAAAACTACACCAGAGTTTCCTTGCAAATTGTCCCTTTGACAACAAGAAATCCTGCAAACGTTGCCCTTTGTAATGCCATAGTTGTAATCGCTATCACTACAGGTTGCAAAAGTGTTGGAATTTTTTTAATTGGAAATTTTCTCTGGGAATTTTTGTGAGGCTTAACTTAGTTGATTTTTTTTGGGGGGTGGGGGGTATATACGCAATCAAGGTAGAGCATTGCCCTGGCATGAGGGTAAAGAGCTCATGACAAAACAATTATGCATATATTTACCTTTCATGAGCTTTTCATTGAAATACCCCAAATAATTCCCAAGAATTCCCAATGAAAAGTTCAATTTGGAATGCAGTGGTGCCTTGAGATTGAAGTTTTAAGTTGTGACGTGACCATGCCTGTATCGCAAAATACTCAGTCCCTTCCGCATTTCCATTGATTTCAATTGGAGAATATGATTTGTGATACAGGTGATTCCCAAGGCACCGCTTGTATTTTCAAACTCAACCACCTTAACCTTCCGTGGTCATTCACCAGAAACATTCTAGAAATTTTACCGGAAATGATTCCACACATTTTGCAATTCTACTTTTGATAAATGTGTGCTTCAAAAGAGTAAAACCAGATCGGCTTTGACTGGTTTCTGAGGTGTTTGGCACATATACAAGAGAATAAACTTGAACGTGTCTTCAATGTATGGCTCTGCAGAAGTACGATGACGCACAGTGTTTCAAAAAAAAAAAAAAAAAAAAACAACGCACACAAAAAATAAATAAAACAGCAGAATGACACTCAGTCCAATCCGATAGCAGTCTATGCAGCCTATTGAATATTTGTAATCACACAAACGGTCATAAAACTTAAGAAGTAGCTTTAAACCTGATCATGGGTGCAGTCTAAGCCTTAAAAATGAGCCTTAGTGGAAATGTCCTTCCCAGGGAAGACTTCACTTGAATGTTGCTAAACGTATACAATCCGCAGCTGCAATATTGAATCTATTCTTTCTTTAAAAGAAAAACGGCATCCTTGCTAATCCTACTCCTATAGTCCTTGAAGTATAAATCAAAAATGATTATAACATAAATAACACAAGTAATCCTTCGGCTAAAGTTTGGCTCCATGATATATGAGGTACTCCCTTTTTTTTTTTTTAATCCCACTATATTAATCCTCAGATAATTACTGTACTTTGATTTATTAGCACGCTAGCCTTCGCTCCCACAAAGCTGCAATTTTTTTTTTTTTTTTTTTTTTTAGGGGTTGAAACAATGTAGCTCACGTGAATTCATTTGCTCCAAACACACCTCAAACAAAAATCACAATTAGTATAAAACTAGCACAACTCTCTGTCCAATTAAATGTGTTTGCAGCTTTTTTGTGACTATTTTTTTTTAATCTCTCAGTGGAAAAACAATGATATTTTTCCAACCTTTCATCCTGGAAAAAAAAAGTAATAAAATTTTGTATGAAACAAGCAAGAGGCTGTCCCATTAAATGTACGAAAGCGTTTACAGACTTTTTTAATGACTTTTAGATATGTGATACGAATGTTTACATCTTCTCAATTTATGAGCCTAAAGTGATTAAAAAACACTGAAAGATTCCAGAATTTTGTCAAAAATATGCGACTTTATGAAATCTGTTAAATGTGGCATCTTAAAATGAAAAATGTCTTTCTGTTTCATGTCAACAGCGGTTGAGCTGTAACACAGCGACTTGACTGTCCTTCAGTCGATTTTTTGGACAACTTTTAACTTTTACTCTCGACATTTCAAAACTGATGAGTTCTTTGTATTCTGTCCTTTTTCAAAATTCGCCTTTTTCATCTTCCATGAGCGATGACAACGTAAAAAAAAATAAAAAATCGTAAACAAGGAGAAGGCAACTGTGCTTAACCTCCTGACTGGTGGACATTTTACGATCTTATAAGGTGAGGTGAAAAGGGACAGCAGCTAAATGGAGGAACATGAACCAGTTACGAAAATACAAAATGCTTACTTTTTTTTTCGATTTCCGACTAAATTTCCGTAGCCAAGACAGGAGTGGAGGATTTGATCCGCTCACGCAATTCTAAAAACAAATGAGAAGGAACTGTTACAAAACATTTTTATCCCACAGACACTCCATAACATGTATCGTCACATTTTTTTTTTTTAACTCCTGACATTAAGCATGACCGCTGAGCTCAGAGATTTACTGAGTGTCATCGGCAGGTTGCAACGAAGATACTGGAAGAGTCACTGAAAGGCATAGTAGATTGATATTTTAGCGAAGCGAAGTGAGCTCGCGACACCAGAGAGACGCACTTACCGTGGACTGGAAGTGAGTTTTAACTCAAGGACTTATTAGCCCCTGTCAAGCAGCCACAGGTATCACCATACCGGATGATTCAATGCGTGGTACGAAAATACTAGTTGGACTGCAAAAACTGAAAGGAAAATTGTCAGGTCAACTTCATACCTTACGATTTGTGTCCGTGCCGTAAAATGGAAAAGAAAAAAAAAAAGCTGTCTACTCCTTCACTAGTAGTTTGTCACTGAGATTGCTCCAAAAGCTACGATCCGCCGCACACCCTAGTCGCCTATTTAGTTATTTTTAAATTAGATATTCTGAGAACTCTGACTGACATAAATAACTAAACGAGATCAAACAAAACACACACACACACACACACACACATACAAATGAAAAAAAAATCTTGTTCAAGTACGGTCAACTCCCATGAGATGGGCAAAGACGATGGCACGCTGAGAAGCACGATGGTTTCAAGATAGCCGCTTATTGCCATGCACAGCGACAAAAAGTCCAAAAGTCAAGACGGCGAAAATTTCAATGGTCGTCCTCCTCTTGGGGATCTTCGTATCGACCCGTGATCATGGTGTTGAGCAAAGGTCCCACCTGAGGAGGAATACACACACACCAAAAAAAAAAATAGGCAAGGGGATTATATTAAGATAACACGAACTAGGATTGATAGTAAGAGTGAGACTGAACATTTTGAAAAAGAATCTAATTGCCTTTTTTTATGTCTCTAAAAGTGTGACATTAGTGAGACATAAATATACTGTAAGCAGAAAGTGGGTTGCTGGCCGGGTCGGGTGTGCCGCAGGGATTTTCACGCAACGTAGGTGACCTAAATACAGGTCTGATTCGAAATGTTGGCTCTGAGCAGGAGTTGATCGTGCCAAAAAAAGAGGAAGTGAAGCACGTTTACTTGTCGAGGGTCGCCGAGCGCTTCTCCCAGCATCTTCTCGATGTTTCTCATGATGGCCACCTTCTGGTGGGCTCGCAGTGGGTATTCTATCCTCTTGGGCGTGGGCGCACCCTGAACACAGACATCAGGACCATGACAATTTGACTCAAAAAAATAAAAAGACCATTTTACAAATGATTTGGACAATTATGCTATAAAAAAAAAAATTCTAGTGATATTGTACAGTGATACCTGAAGATGTGAGTGAGCCAGAAAGGAAATCATTCTTACAAAAAGCGACTTAAATTTGTAATGCCACTCCCGGTTTAAGTTTACTGTCAAACTAAACATAAATCAATTTAAACCAACCACATAGCTTTGCCAGAGATACAAGCAAGTTCAATGCTAACAAACAAAAGCAGGCCCATAAATAGTGAGTGATGTGGTGTTGCAACCGCGGATATAATCAGGTACACCAAAAGCAGGCCCATAAATAGTGAGTGATGTGGTGATGTGGTGTTGCAACCGCGGATATAATCAGGTACCTACGGCACGGCCCTTTCGACCTACATGACTATAGCAACGCTAAGCTAGGAGGGGCAAAGTCATCAGTGCATTCCGTGCGAGGTCAACAAGAAAACAAAAAGAGCAACGAATCCTGCACATTGTTCCGCACAATTAGAAAAGAAACATTTTATTACTTCTTTTTTAATGTCGTGTATTAATAGCAAACGTTTGGTTAAAACAAGATTTACAGGCATATATTATTTATCCTCTGCAAAGAATGACTCATGTAACTGCATTTTACCGAGGCGTGACTGTCCCCGTGTATATCCGATTGTCGATATTAAACTGCCCCCAGGTGGCCAAGATGCACACACCAGAAGGAGCAGCACAATTTTCATTCAATAGGAGCAAAAACAAAAAAGGGGACAAAACTCTAATTCTTTACAGTTTTAATTGTCATGACTGTATGTTTTTATAAAGTGCAATATTGTAGAGTGCTACTCAATTAAGTTCATATCTCCTGGCACTATTGTACTTAAAACTGTTGAAAATGCATACTTTGTACCAGAAGTTGACTGTGATTGTCACGCCACCGCTCAGCAGGGACTCGATGTGATGCCACCTGGCGGCGAAAGAAAAACACGAATGAGGAACACTTCAAACTGAACAACTTCATGCTTGCGCACATAAAAACTTCTTCTTACCAATACATGGGGATGTAGAGCACGTCTCCCGGGCCCACGACCGCTTCATAGCCGACAACATTTTTAAAATTTGGGAACCTATTATAGTCGGGGTTGTCAAAATTCACCTAGAAATGACAAAGAACAACATTTAGCGCTACGATATAGTGTCATTCTGGTTGTATGGTTGCCAGTAACAGAATCACACATTTTTTGCATGCTGTTACATATTTTCATGGGACAACACAAAAGCAATGAAATTTTGCTACAACAGTGTCAATTTAACAGTGTCAATTTACTGTCCGCTGGCAACAAAAGTGAGTTCACTCTGAAGTGAAACATTTCAAACTGTAACCAAAGTTGCCTCCGTGTTTATTTCCTGGAGTTGTTAATAAAAGCTTGGACTGTGGAATAACCCTTGCCGTCTGCTGAAACCTTTCAACACAATTCCACAGAAACAGACGTTTGCTGAAGAAACCGAGAAACACGAAAGAATTCAAGAATGAACTTGAAGCAAAGTACAAAAATGGCTTCTGCCTTCCGTAAGCCCCCAATAAATGTAAAAGTATGTATATAGAGCTACAGCTATTATGAGACGTATCTTTTGATCATACTTTTTTGGGGCATCTGGAACAGAATAATTAGATTTGCATTAGTTCACATGGGAAATATTGCTTTGGTTTTCATACCATTCGTTTCAGTCAGACTTTCTGAGCTAGATGAATCAAGAAAATTGATGAAAACAACAACAAAAAAGTCATTGTGGTATTTTCATCTCACTGGAGAAAAAAAAAATACTTCTAACATTATATTTATAGAAACGTGTTCCTTCCTCCCTCAGACGGCCAAAACGGTTGACCCCGAACTGGTGCCTGGTACTTTGGCGTAAATAAATATCACAGGCCCACTACATGAGAAAAGAAGTTGATTTCTAATTTGATTCATAATAATCATCACTTACTTGACTTTGTCTATCGCAGGGATGATGGACAGGGTAAGGATACAGACACTCAAACTGGTCTGGAGGGAAGAGGATGCATCTCTTGTGGCCTTTGATTTGTGCAAAGAAGTTCTGCTGCTCGTCGTAATGCGCCGGCGTCACGTTGCCTGAGCGCGGAGAATATTACATGATTCGAAAATAATTCCGATGAGGAAAAAAAACAGCCTATGAGAAGTGAAACCTGCGTACCCTCCATGCCTATGAGCAGGAGGTTGGATGTCAGCTGGCCCCAGTTCCTTTTGGCCTGCTGCTTGTTGATCCAGTTCCAGTTGAAACCCAGAAAGTCCACCACGATCTTCTTTCCGACCGTGTCGTTGAGCGTCTGCTGCAAGTACACCCTGGGCAACGGAAGCATACACACGTGCGATGAAATAATAACGCCGACGTTTATCGACACATAAAATACGTCATCTTTGATGCAGTTGCATTTGAAGGGGATGGACTGAGAGCAAAGTTATTAGATGAAAAAGAAACCGGATGTAAAAATTAAAACAAAAAAAATTCAGTCACCAAAAAAAAAAAAAAAAAAAGAAAAAAAAGAAAAATTAGCTTTTTTAAAAAAATGAAAACTACCTGAATTGACATCTTAAGTTATGAAACTAAAACAAAAAAATTTACAGCTTCGTTTTCATTTTTGTCAGTTCACAGCCTACCTCAACTTTCAGGGCTTATGACTGTATTGTATTTATGTCCGTATTGCTGTACATCTGCACAAAAGAAGGAATGTCAAATACTTGTTTGAGATTGGGGACCTTTTTTTTTTTTTTTAATCTTGCACTCGACTAATGCTCCATAAATATATTTTTAAAAACTAAAACTAATCCTAAAACTAATAAAACTCATCTAAAACGAACCATTTCAAAAACATAAAAACAATTTAAACCTAGGGGAATTGAAAAAACAAATGTCAAAATGAAATGAAAAATAATTTATGAAAAATCCCATACTGTCGAGTCTTTACTGAGTGAGAGTTCAACTCAAACAGGAGCCAATTTTAACACTAATAATGCGCATGAATATCATCTCTCCACAATAAAATGAGCGGAAATGCCACTAATCCTTTGAGGCAGCCTCAACAAACTCCAAAAAACTCCGTCATGTATTTTTTAGAATGAAAAATAAATTGCACTCTATATAATGTTCTTTATAAAACTAAAAAAAAGCATAACATCATTGAAAAGAATGGATAGAATTCATCGGTTTTACCGCTCTTCCCCTCCCGTTTGCTGCACTTGCTGCATCCTCTCCACAAACTCGGAGAATTTCATCTCAAGTCGTCGGGACTTGGGGACAAAGTTCTCCACGTTGGCCATTTTCTTCTCGTCGTAGTAGAGGAACTTGTGGTTTTCTGCGATGTAGACGGAGAAGTCGCCGTTGCCGATGTTTTCTTGGAGGTACGCGACGTCCCACTTGAGAGCAGGATAGACGAGGTTCGTGTCTGTTAAAACCACCGGCTCCTGCAAATACGTCCAGTACATACAGTATATATTAGCCTGCTTTCATGAAGGACGACAGAAATCAGAGAATAATGACTGAATTGATGAGTTTTGACGCCTCTACTTCCCACTATACACGCCTTGAAATGATGTCGTCCTTGTGATTTTCACAACTTTGAAAATTCCCTTTAGACCGAGTACACTTTTCAAATTTCCCATCGTTGTCAAACGGCCCACACAGAGACATCAGTAAAATATATTTTTAAATCTCCATAGCAATCTGAATGATAGATTTTTCAAATGATACCGGCCTTTGAAAAAGAGGGCAAAGATGAGGAAAATTATGGGACTTTGAAAGTCAGATTAAATTTTAAAAACATATAAGTCACCCTTAAAGGCTTGAGCCCGTAGTCTTTTTTATTGTGTGCGGCAGAAATGGGTGCATTTTCACTGGTTATAAGGAGTCATCACCTTAAGATATATCACAAGAAAATGGCTGTCCGATAAGCAGGTCTCAAGTTTGTTCGTTTTTTTTGTTGTTGTTTTTTTAAACGGATACCTTAAAGCACCACATCCCGTGGAAATGATTTAGCACCACTGTTTCAGAACACGCACACACGCACGCACACAAACTGAGTTACGATGTGATGAAAAGGGAAGACAAAAAAAAAAAAAAAATCCCGACACCCGAACAGCAGCGCGAGGCAAGACTGCCATTAGACACCAGCGAGTACAATCCGACACGGTGAAGATGTGGGCTACGTGACTACACGAACGTACAACCGAGGCGCGCCCCCGATGCCGCATGGAGGAAGTTAGAAAAGGCGCGCACTCGTTGTTGTTTTATTATTTTTTTGTTGTTGTTTTTTTAATGATAATGAGCGCACGTCCGCGCGGCGTTTTAAATTGAAGCTGCTGAGATAACTGCAAACATTTTTATTACACATGCACACTATACAGTACATTCCATCTCACGCGGTAGCCCCTGGCTGGGGCTAAAATGAATGGGAACGTTCCTTCGTCTGCTTCGTCATTTATACAAATATTGCAAAAAGCAAAGTACAATACTGAGATATATAATGACATATTGATGAATTGTAATATACCCAGTATACGCAGAGCATGCAAAACCTGTTTATAGGCATAGTACAGGTACGTATGCGTGATATTTACGCACTTTAGTCCTGTTTGAAAAATGAGGACAAACTAAAAGGTACGAATGTGAAAAAAAAAACAGTCAATATGCATAATACATATGATATTAATACAATTGTAGGTTTAATCGTGGATGTTTCTTACCTCGTTGTTGATGAGCATCTCAGCTCTGGGGTCGGTGTGCGACAGCCTGGGGATGGGCTTGGTGGAAAACGTATACCTCCGCAGCTGAGAGTCGTCCCAGGCCGGCTCGTGGACGCCAGAGAAGCCGGCGGTGGCACCTTCACTCGCCGCCGGCTTCTCGGCCTCCACGACGGTCGCCGCTGCCATGGTCGTCGGACCTGCCTGTTCCAAATCAGCAGAATACCTCCAGTCCCGTCCGTCGTCTTTGCCACCAAATTGAGAGGTGTTTTTTTCTCCAGTCGCTTCACCGCCAAGTTACACTCTACCGTGGGGTTAATATTTACGTTTTAGGGAAATTGATAATTCCTGAAATGATCCTGAAATATCGCCGAGAGGGCACACTTGCCTCCGGTTGTGTGTTCCGCGCTGGACTGAATGGGTGTTTACACACGGTGTTGACATCCGGAAAACAAGCGAGATGAACTGAAAACTATGTAGCGGAGGTCCCTCATCAATCAAAGAGCGACACCTGGCGTAGTGGCGAGATAATGGCAGAAAATGTTATAAAACGCTTTTTAACGCTAGAGGGTGCTGTCGCCTCTCCTTTTCTGAAACATAAGAATGCGTTTTCCATGCAAGTGGCACATACTGAATCCGTGTATCATTCGTTGAAAAACGAAAGAACGAATGATACACGGATTATACTGTATTCACCCATCCAGCCATCCATTATCGGAGCCGCTCATCCTCACGAGGGTCGCGGACGTGCTGGAGCATATCTTAGTGCAGGATTCCTCGAGAGCCATATCCTGCTTGTTTTCGATCCCTCCCTACTCCAACACACCTGATTCAACTGTTCATGATTGTTTCAGGCCTCGACAGGGCTTGCTGATGAGCTGATGATTTGAATCCGCTGTGTTGGAGTAGGGTGGGATAGAAAACAGGCAGGACATGGCTCTCGAGGAACCGGAGTTCCCTACACCTGTCTTAATGTTACACCCTGAACTTTTTGCCAGCCAATCGAAGCGCACACATAAACAAACAACCATTCACACTCCGAATCACACTTACGGACAATTTAGGGTGTTTCATGAACCTTAGCTTGCATGTTTTTGGAATGTGGGATGGAACCAGAGTACTGTACCCGGAGAAAACCCACACAGGGACGGGGAGGACAACAGCTGGAATTGAACGCGCTAACCACTGGAAGGGAGGAACCTATTCTAACTCTAGACCTCTGTACTGTGAGACGGACATGCTAACCAGTCAACCGGCGTGTCACCCTGTGGCACATGAGAAATAGCTGACGAATGTGACAAAATGGCGGCTCTCTGACATGCCTATACTGTAAACACGGGGGATTTTGCTGCTTAACTCATATTCCACAAACGCAATAGTAATCAGAATGCCATGTTTAGTCTAGTGAAGGCACATAGAACGTATTCCCATAAAGAAAATCTTGGGGTTGACTACCCCTTTTTAATGCCTTGAGCTGAGTAAGTTTGTCAAAACATGGCCAAGTGGATCAAAAGCCCCCAAAACATCCCCAACGCAACACAAATGAACACATTCCTGAAAGCGAAGCGTAATGTTTGTTTCCTCCTGACTTAGTCTGGAGTCACCTCCACCCAGCAGGGCACCTCAACGACCGCTTCAGGCTCCCCGGTTGGTTCCCATGCTCTTGTGTTTCCTGTGCACATCAGTGGGATGAGCTGAGCTTTATCCCTCTGATGCTCCTCTCCTTCCCCATTCTCGTGTGGATGAGCAGGGAGATTGAGCACCCCGGTGAGCTCCCCGCCATCTTCCCCTCCCCTGTAGAAGCTTGTGTCTCAATCCTGACTGATAATGCACCACAAGTGTCTCCTCTCTATCCGCTGCTCTTTTTTTTTTTCCAACTCCTCCGTGGAAGTCGATCAGAGCGCTATTCAAGGAATTTTTGATGCGCATTCCACAGATTTTGGGGTAATGGGAGCACATGATTGATGCGTTCGGTGTCCTCCCTCCCTCTTTCTCATCCATGTTGGCTTTCTCTCACATTCATATTGACCCTCGCCCCTCTAGGTGTTGTAGGTCCAGAACTCCTAAGCCTTAAATCCTATTAGTCAGGGATTCTCTCAAGCATTAGAATCTGTTTTTTTTTTCTTCTTCATTTTGCTTGCTATCCAAGAAGAATCAACCATCTTTGTCTATTTTTTTTTTTTTAATTTAACAAGAAAATTGAATAGGCCTGTTAGCTGTTGGATTCATGAAGGATTCGTGTGCCAAGTTGGCTTTGGCTTGTAGAACTATTTTAAACTTTGGCCTCAGCAAAAAAGGAGAATCTTGCCAATTTGTCATGACTGTTGCTAAAATCCGAAATGTTGCGCTAATCCTCTCCAAACAGACCCACTCTCAGAGTCTTGTTACTCTCGCAGAGTGAATTTCCAAACGCACCACAGAACGCACTGAGATAGAGTGATAAGGATTTGAAATTGTGCCCTACGTTTGGGTATATTTTTGAACGTTAATAACTCAAGTCATAACGTGCTAACTGTTTTTATGCTAACATTTCGCAAGAGAACTACCTGAAGCCAAGAAAGAGCAGAGGTATAGCGATGAGGATTTTAAATGATGACTCAGTTTTTATAAAATACAGTATAAGGTGCTATTTTTCGGATTTCATTACAAACATAAATAAATGTTTCCTAGCTTAACGCAAATCTGGGCCCCCAACATGGCGGACTAGCAATTTACATTTACGTTGTTTCAACATCCAAGATACATTCCTAATAAATTTGATAAATGTGTCCACATGTCGAGCAGAGCGTGAGTACTTTTGCCTTTGAACAAACATTTGTGAGCAAGAGGCTACTTGAAATCCGGCACTTCCTGCTTGCTGTCGTCCATCTCTCCCCCGCCACCTTGTGCTCATGTGCAGCGGCAAATTGGACATGGCAGGGCCGCCCCGCGAACATGGAACTTCAGACCCCTCGGTCAGAGGTCGGGGCGCCTGTTGGGTGGGGGCAAATGTTTGTGTGTCTGAGTCATGATCAACATAAAGTGGCGCTTCACTAGCAGGAAACCACTAGCTTGCATTGTTGGGCAAATTAAAATTATTTTGATAATTTTCTATTTTATAGTTGCTTCAACATAAGCTAGCCCAAAAAAATGCAAGTTATGGTTTTTTTTTTTTGTTGTTGTTTTTAGACAATTCATGTTTACATAGCTTTAGATTTTAGCTTGGGGGTGGGGGAGGGCAGTTCAGTGTCCACAAGGCAACATGTCTGGAATGCTCGCTTTTCATGCCGGGCTGAGTGATCCCGTGGGAGGGGGGGGGGTATCTTTTGATTATCATGATTTGCTTAAATAAGATGTCAACAAGGTGTTTCCTTGACACATTATTGAGCCAAAGGAGGAAGGTGCAGAAACCGCTCCCCCCCCTTTCTTTCTCAATGGGGACCTCTAATCTTCTCCTTTCTCGTCTTAAGGGGTTGGCCCTCGGCTGCCATGCGCTGGCCCCTGCCAGGTCGGGCCTGGCACTTCTTCCCCTGGCTCAGCAGACATGTGTTTAGAAAAGCCACTTGTTGGGGCACAATACGTGAACTAACTTCTTTTGAGGGAACAGTGTGAATCTGTGTAAAGCCTTTTCCCAAAGTCCTTTCGGAGGCGACAGGCCATTGAGAGCGCCCGAAGAAGGAGGGATTACCTTCCTCGACAGCGGCGCATTTCCGAGAGAGCTGATTAGCTCGCCGCGCATTGTTAAATCGAGCAAAGGCAGGCCCTAGAGAAGTGAAAGGAGCCAAATAGGTGGGCCCGGTGGGATAAAACATCCGCAGGAAGCCTTGCACAAGTTTCCCCAACATTTCTTCCCCCCCCCCGCCCGCTCCTGCCTGAACACACCGCTAAGGAGGCGCGGCGTGAAAAAGGAGATTAGCATCCAAAATTAGAGGCGGGATGGTTTTTATAACGGCGACTTGCCTCATGGCCTCCTCCAAAGATCTGCCCCCCCCTCCCCCTCCCCCTTCAGGGTTATACTACTCCGTCTGGACAAAGTTAATTAAACTAGTATTAAACAGTAAAGAAACTCAGGCGTTCTTTTGAGGATTACCAAGATGGAGGGAGGGGGGGGGGGATTTGTTGTGTGAGCGAAATTGAGAAAGCCACGACGGAGAAAAGTTGAAGGGTTTTCCTTTCTTTGCCGACCCCACCTTGAGGACCCGGACCCCCCTCGCGTGAACAATGCGAGGAGTCGCGCCATGTTTACTTCAAAAACGACAAGTCGCCAGAGGAGGCGAATTGATACCAAGGAAGGATTTATTCTTCTTTCATTACGGCCGAAAAGAAAACAAACCAAACTAATAAGAAAACAACTAAGGTAAGGCGGTGCAATAAATTAACAATGTACAGTACAAAGTGCTTCATCTTATATACATTTAAATACATCGGGGGGGGGGGCAACAAATGGTTCAAATTCGGATGAATTGTCATGACCCGGATGACTTAGAATCAACGCAGGCAATTCGTTGAAAGTTTACAGTGATTTGTCCTGGAAAGACTGCTCCCAAAATGTCTCGGAAATCATGACTTAAGGCGGGGGGGGGGGGGGGGGGTCCTTCGGGGGCGCAGGCAAAAATTTTCATCTGACACCTGTAATTTAGTTTTTCAATGAAGCTCAGAGGTTTGTTTTTGGAATGTGGGAGGAAACTGAGTACCTGGAGAAAAGCCTGGATTCCAACCCTCAACCTCTGAACTGTGAGGTAGAAATGCTAACCACTCGGTCGCCGCGCTGCCTGTGTACATTTCCCCAAACCTAAATGGAATTTGCCAGAAAAATCCTGAGATGGTCTCTCGAGGCGGCCCGGTGGTCCAGTGGTTAGCGCGTTCAATTCCAGCTGTTGTTCTCCCCGGGCCTGGGTGGGTTTTCTCCGGGTACTCCGGTTTCCTCCCACATTCCAAAAACATGCATGGCAAACTGATTGAAGACTAAAAATTGTCCCGAGGTGTGAGCGCGAATGGTTATTTGTCTCTGTGTGCCCTGTGATTGGCTGGCAACCGGTTCAGGGTGTCCCCAGCCTACAGCCCGAACACGGCTGGGATGGACTCCAGCACCCCCCGCGACCCTTCTGAGGACAAAGCGGATCGGAAAATGGACTGATGGAAAATCTCTCTGAATTTGACGGGAGAGGCGGAGGAGTTATTGGAGTATATTTCAAGCAACTGGCTTGAGATTGTCTTTTTTCATTTCTGGAAATGTACAACTGTTCCCCCCCACTCCCAAATCTGACCCAAAGTATTCCAAGGGGAGGCTCAGTGCTTCTTGCCGGGCTTGAGGGTCTTACGCCGTCCGCCCGCGCTCTCATTCCTCCCCCTAGCGCCTCCTTTCTTCACGCAGAAGAATTTGGTCACCGTCTTCCTGCACTGTTCGCACTTGACCGCGCAGCACCAGTGGAACTTACAGTTGCAGCTGGACACCGTCTCGGCCTTGCGCTCCTCCACGGCCAGGCCGCATTCGCCGCACAGCCTCCTGCAGCTGCGCTTCTCCCACTTGCTCAAGTTCTTCCCCTTCTTCAGGCACTCGCGACCCTCGGTGCCCGGCAGACCCAACGTGCGGTTCTCCAAGCAGTAGTCGGGCGAGTCTTCCAGGTGGACCAGCTCCTTGCGAGAGACGGAGCTGAAGGACTCGGCCACCGCCCCCCGGTTGGCCGCGCTGTTCCCGGCCCCGCGGAGGAGGTCGACTTTCAGAGCTCGGTGGTACTTCTCCTTCAGGTAGTTGCCCACCTCCCTGAACTCGGGCAGCTGCAGCCAGCAAGTCTGCGTGGTGCAGCTCCCCGACACCCCGTGGCACTTGCACATCTTCTGCATGGTCCCCTTGACCGCCTGCGGTCGAGATAAACCAAGCCGGTGAGCGTTCAATAGGCTGATGATTTCGTCGGGCGTACCTCGGGAAATCATATACGCTAGTTTTTTTTTTTTTAAAAACTCGCACATTAGCTTCACTTGAGCTCGCTGTGTCCACATTCTCCACTGTAGTATCTGTGACTTGGAATCTATGTGCTGAGTGCCTCCGGGCACTGATTAGTGTATCTTTAAATCTTGCGAAAGAGTGAAAAAAAAAAAATCTGCGATATCGAGAGAGCCCGATACGGTGAGGGACGACTCCATAATTTCACTGAACTGATCAGAAAAGATGATTGACGGCAAATTGTCGCGATCTGTGTTTTTGTTTGGATTTCATTCGATTAGCGTTAGCATTTTTTTCCCCATGTTATGTCTTGTTTCCCAATGTCCTTTTTTTTTCAAGTTTGGTTTGCTTGTTGGGTTTTCTCATCAGACCTGTTCCTTGCGTCTACCAATCAGCTTCCTGCAGCCACTCGGGTATTGTCCAGGTGTGCCTCGTTGTCTCAGTTTGTTTTGTATTCGAGTCCCCACTTTTTTTTGAGACCAGAGGTACCCAAGTCCGGTCCTCGAGAGCCCGTATCCAGCCTGTTTTTGATATCTCCCTCCTCCAACACACGTGATCCAACTGATCAGCTCATCAGTCGGCTGTGCAGAAGCCTGATAACGATCCTGATCATTTGAATCGGGTGTATTGGAGGAGCGAGAAATCTAAAACAGGCGACGACAGCTGACCTGGGCGTGGCCACCAGATACATCCCAAAGGCTTTAGATATTTTTTTTTTCCGTTTACTTTAAAAAAATCCAAATGTATGGCATCGGAAGCCGTGGGTCAGGAAGGTGACTCAAGTGGATGTCGTAAATATTTTGTCCAGATTAGAGCGCAGCAGAGTAGCCACGAGGTACTAAAACTCCATCCCAGAGACCGACGGGGATGTTCAGTGTCACCTCAACGGGGTCTTTTCAAAAACGAATGGTGTTTTCAAGACGCCGCACTCGAGTAAAACAAAAGCGTGAACTCACAGTCAAAGAAAGAGGTGACCGCCTCCAAGTCCTCGGCTGTGTTTTTGTTGTCGTTGGCGCTTCCTGACTTTAACCAACACAAAACATCTGCCGCTTGAAAAGAAGACGTCCCCTCTTCCTTTTTGTCGATCCAAAAGTTTCACATCGAGTCCCCGTTGTACACCCCCCACTTCAAGAAACGCCAGTATTTATTTAGCCCGTTCATTATCATCATGTTTTCCGAGAGTGACAAGACCCAATGGAGAGTCCCATTGAGTGGGGATATGAAAAAGGATTTTTTTTTTTCTTTCTATGCCCATTTTTTTCTGTTACAATGATGCTCCAGGTGCCATGGGGATCCCGGGGCCCGACGGGGGGGTTGCAAAGGCACCGTCAACAAAGAGCACTTCAGCTGCATGCCTGTGGTCCCCTCAGACTACCTCCAGAGCCGGACAAAGACCAACATAAATGTGGGTTCCTTATTGCAAGAATAAAACTAAACACTTATTTAAAAAAAAAAAAAACAGGGGGGTTTGGGTGAGGGGGGATAATACAGAAACCCTGCGCAATGTCTGGCTCCCCTGGATCTCCAATTAGGCTTGCATGCCTGCGATTCTCGAGTTGAGGGATTGTCATTCAGGGCCGGTAAATAGGCCCTTCTGGTACAGCGAACACACTGTTATGATCGGGGACGAGTGGCACCTCACTTATTGCTGTGTGAAAGGGGATGCTTGGGTGGCACACTCGCGGAGGACTATTAGTGGGGGGGGTGGAAACAACTGGAGGGCTCAGAAGGAGTCCCAAAAATATCAACGTCTCTATCGCGTGTGTGGAGAAGCCAAAAGACATCATTGGATGTTGAACCATTACCTTCCTGCCAGCTTCGTTGTTGTGCAGATTCATAGCCGCTCGGGCGTCTTGCCCGGTCTCCAAAGCGTCGACAAACTGCTTGGCGATGACCTCGCCGAAGCCGACGTTGTCGCTGCAGCCGCCCCACAGCCAACCGTGACCACCTGGAAGGGGGGAAAGAAAAAAAAAAAAAAAAAAGAGAGAAAATGCATTTACAGGCATTTAAGATAACATACGGCGCGGGCACCCGCAGCGTCTCCTCTTGTTGTATGTTGTCTGTTTAAGAGGGAGGAAATTTCATCTGTGCTGTTTGTTAGCACATTTGACAAAAAAGTTGGACTTGACTTGATATCAAGATCATACTGTTTGCGATTGTCGTTTTTTTTTTTTAATCAATAACAATCAAGACATACCCCACTGAGTTTCCTTTTTGACAGACATGAGTAGTTAAATTCTTTTTGGCCGTCATCACAGGAACAAATTCTTGCCAAAAAGAAATTCGAACCCTTTCGGGCACAGGAGGCTGCTGCGGTGGGCAGCCTCTCATGTTATCAGGTTACAGGCGATCGTGATCATGATATGATCATGATAAGCTGTCCACTGTCGTAACCGCTGTCCCTGAGAGGGTGAAAGAAGGCACGACGGATGATATTTTTACAATCTAATCAGAAGTCTCTTACCTCGTTGCCCGTTGCGGCTGTCGTCGCAGCCGCAGTTGTCGAAATCGCCCAGACTGCAGTTCCTGGTCAGTGTGTACATGACACCAGCTGAGCTGATGGCGTGCACGAACGCCGTCTCCCGATTGGCTGGCAGAGAGACGCGTTTTATCAACATCATCATCCCGTGAATACTACAGGTCGCCATAATGCTGTTTTAAGTTTCTTTCTTTTTTTTGAGCGAACCTCCATACATTCCAGACCCACCTACAAGAGGTGAAAATCCACCAAATCACGAAACCGTAGTCCAAAAACTTTTTTGACCCCGCCCCACATGTTTTAAATACATCAAAAGATATTGAAACAGACTTTTTAAAAACAACGTAAATGTATTTGAACACTGTACAGAAACATTTCAAGCATAAAATATTGGAAAATAATGTAGGTCTTGTCGTGCCTTGATGCTGGATATTTGTGTGCCTTTAAGAGGCGGGGCCTGGTCGTGTGGCAACTCTCGGCATAAGGCATGGTCGACAGCAGCTCTTGCGTGAGCGTTTCTGCATTTTGAAGAGCAAAAATCTGCAAGTAATTGATGTTTATTATAATTTCCTTTTTTTTTTAATCTGAATTTTTACAACCCACTTTTTTTCCAACAGATTAAATTAGATAAAAATTGGGTGGAATGTTGGGGTGTAAAAAAAAGTGTAAAAAAAAAAATAACATTAAAAAAAGATATCTTAAATGTTGAACAATAACATAACGTCAGCAGAATATTAAAAATGGTCACTTTCTGTTGTCCCTGATTCAAACGTCTGGTGAATTTAATTCCATGCGCATTGCAGCCAGCCTTCTTCCCGATGCTAATTGGCTTTGTGTGTCGCATTCACGACCAGCAATGATCCAGCGAGACCGTTGGATTAGTCTGTTTGTTTTGGTACGTGCAACAAAAGGCAACGCAACAGTCCCATACTGGGAATGGCGGCGCTGAAAAACTCCTTGAATCCAATTCAGCGCACTGTTTTGTCTTATTAGTGAGGCCAACTTGATTTTTTTTACATTATGCACAGTTCTCATTTATTGTGCAATAATCTAATTGTAACATGTATTTGTTACATATTTTGATGCATTTTTATGATTCATAAAACACTTATGTCTGAATTTTGGAACGGATTAGGGCATTTACATGGAAAACGCGTCTCTACTTACAAACTTTTCTTGTTAAGAAATTTCTTCTAGAATCAATTCATTTCATAAGTCGAGGTACCACTGTACTACTAAGGGACATCCAAAAAAATACCAACAGTTGCTCTACTAGCATATTAAAATTGCTCTTCTACCGGACAGAAATGTCACGAAGCAATGAAAAAAGAACATTACAATGAGACAGTTGTTTTACTTATGCTCCCTCGTTGCTCTACTAGTGCACCGAATTGCCTTACTAGTTGAATCAACCGGTGAGGGCAAGACTGTACACGACGGTAAAATTCAACGAGTCGTTCAAAAAAATGAGCGAAAACTGTACACGACGACTTGTCACACGGTAAAATTCAACGAGTCGTTCAAAAAAATGAGCGCATTTACCGCTGCGCAGGCTGCTGTGTGTGGACAACTGCAGGGCTCTCTCGGGGCAGTTCCAGCGGTCCCATCCAAACTGGTACTTGCACTCTTCGATGCCGCTCTGGGCTCCCGCCGCCACGCTGCTGGAATAGATCAGGTACGCCTGCAAGGGAGGCACAACCCGATCAGTCCATGAATGTTGACCGAGATCCAACACAAGAGATTTGTAAGGTGTTTTACAGTACACTTATTTGTTGGATGCTCTTATCATGTGGGAAAGGAGAGCCATAGTTGTTATTTTTTGGCCATTTATTGGACGCCGGGAGAAACATAGTGAGCACACTTGAGCAGAAACTCTGTCAGCCACGGCTCACGCCCAGACACTCACACAAACCAGGTACGGGGCACCTCACCAAGCCCCGCCTCTTAAATGCACATGAACCTGGGCAGACACAGCAATTTGTTTCCGATATTAGAAATATTTTATGCTGGCAATTTTTATTTTATTTTTTTTTAATGTGTGCATTGAAATACATTCCCAATATGTGTGTTAATGAGTGTATAAAATAAGTAGAAGTGTGATAAGTACTGTATGCATTTAATAAATGTGAGTTTATTCCTTTTCCATTTTTTTTTGTCACGATAAATCCTGATATTACATTTTGGGGGTTGTACCTCTAATTTCCAACTTGAATGTGTTGATCTCACTCCTATTTCTATTTTGTTTCCCATTTTCAAAATAACAGTCCAAAATTTTAATTTTGGGGATTTTTACCTCTCGTTTGCACATTTCTTTTGACCGATTCAAACCATTTCAACTTTAAACTGTTCAGATCATGGCTATTCCAAAATTCCAAAATAAAAGCTCTCACTTAAGATTTTATTCGAATTATTTCCTGCTAATTTCCACATTTCTTGGCAGATTCAAACCATTCCAACTTTGAACTGTTCAGCTCATTCATACTTATTTATTTTTCCCCCCAAATTTAGCTTACAATTAACATTTGTGGATTTTTACCTCTAATTTAGAATTTTTTTTCACCGATTCAAGCCTTTCCAACTTTATTCTTATTCCCAAAGTGTTCTAAATTGCAAAATAAATATGGCCCATTCAGAAGTTCCGTTAGATTTTTTTTTGTCAATTTCTATAATTGTGATGTGGTCCCTGCCCACCACGATGAGCGTGTGAATGATCATACGGCTAATATGTCTCAAGTGGCTTTTTTTTTTTTTTGCTTAGGTGGAGAGTAGCACCACACACACACACACACACGCACACACACACACACACACACACACACACGGAGGCCCAGGGTCTCACTAATGATGACCACCCACTAAAGCAATAGCCGCCCTTGCCTCTTAACACATTCACCCGTTGCTGCACACACACACACACACACACGCACACGCACACACACACACACACACAGCCTCCCCAATAAGGTCAAGTGTACGCATGCAGGAGGGGAAAGAATGAGGAAGAATATGGCTGCATTAATCCTGCATGGATGCCACACAAAAACATGTGAAGGAGGGAGAAACACACACACACACCCACACCCACACCCACACACACACACACACACAGCAAGGAAAAAGCAAAAGCGGGAGCATGTTTTTTTTTTTTTCCTGGGGATGGGAAGGAGAGATCAAAAGGAAGTTGGCTTACCTTGGGTCCAGTCATCAAGAAATTATTCACTGACCTGGAAACGGAGACAGCTTATTCAACTCCGGGAAGCTCAGTGTCCATAACACATTCCGCTCATTAGCGCATGGGAAACTGTCACACACAACCGATAAGGACGGAAATATCCCATAATAGTCACTTTGCTGATGCTATTTCTATACGTGAGTGACAGCTCAGTTACATCCATCAGGAAACGAACGGGAGGCTGCGGGAAATCATTTCAAGTCATTTGGAGTGAGGAAAGGCGACGTTGGTTAACTGCGAATGACAAACAACGAGCAGACTGCGATAGTAACTCCAATTTCTCTGGCGGTATCGTCAATATCAATACGGCGGTGCCCTGAGATACAAGTTTCATTTATTCCGCGACCATGTCAGTAATTGAAGCACTTATATCTCAAGTCATCTTCCCCCACTGAAATGAATGGAAATGTTCTTAATTTGTTCCAACCCAGCACTTTAAAAAAAAAAAAACTTTTACATTCTTAATCAGGAAAATAACACTCTATAATATTCTACTTCATAAAAAGAGAGTAATACCAGCATCATGATTTATTAATTCAATTCGATGAACATATGGTACGCACATGCATACACACAGAACAAATATTCTATTAATAATTATAATAAAATAAAATAATAAAAATGTACACAACCTGCTATGTCAAAATCTTTAAAAAAAAATTTTCACACATCTATACGATGGCTCAGTTATTTCAACCATTATTGTTTATTATTATGAATAAATAAATCACAATTCTTATTGAAAAATCTGAAGTGTTGAAAACGGTTACACGATTGAACAAACAGTACGATTTTTTATTTTTTATTTATTTATTTTTTTTGCTGTTCTGTTTTGTTTGGGGTCTCCTGACACCAGCAAATTATGTTTCAGCATACAGGCTTTGTAGTTTGGACTAATTTTAGAATATATTTTTTTTTGTTTGTTTCACTTTAATTTTTTTATTTGTTTTAATCCTTTTTTTATTTATAATTGTTTTGATGTTTTTCTCTCTTTAATCCATAACTGCTTCAAACAACAAACAGAAAAAGTGGTTGAGATTGCACGACTGTCTTTGTCTTATGTGTTGTGTTGTATTATTTTGTCATTTTATGTTCACTGTTGTGTTGATGGCGGCGCGGGCACCCGCAGCGGCTCCTCTCGAGCACATTTGACTATAAAGTTGACTTGACTTGATGTTATTTCTGTTTTTCTTTAATATTATCTCAAATGTAATCTGGTTGTGCTCCTCTCTTTTGTATCTTTTGTAAATTTACTTACCGTACTTATTTACTCGATTACGTTATTACTTACTTGCATCTTACTCACTTCCTGATGAATGTACTTATTGTACATCCTTATTTGCTAACTTATTTACTGACCAACTTTCTCTTATTTACTTATGATTTTGTTCCTTTTTAACATATAGTTATTGTTACCTAATTCCTTACTCTGTAACTTTTTGTTTGCTTATCTACTTACCTATGATTTGCTTCTATACTTATAAGCTTTCTTATACCTATTTGCATACTGATTTCTTTATTTAATTTGAATTTTCTTCCCTATCTTACCCGTTTACTGATAGACGTATTTGCTTACTTGATCATCTGCGTACTTATCTACTCACTCACAAAATTTGAAGAAAAAAAAAAATTTAACTTAGGCACTTGTGCTCTTCACGTTCCACAATTGATCATGTGACTCTTGTGAGGATAAGCGGTTCAGATAACGGGTGTGTGGAGAGCTGGATGGATGGATATATTTCATGTATTCTAAGTTTGAAATGATACTTTTCCAAAAATGTCATTGGAATGTGTATAACAAATCGAGAACATTTCATTTCATGCAATGCTCTCATGAACACTATTTTCTTTAGGATTTTATCAATTATGTTGTCAGTTCGTTTGACCCAAACATTATAAACAACAAAACCAGATCATTTTGCAGTTGCTCTCTATCAACATTCTTACAACATGATTCTCTGCTAATTTTTAAGAACCCCCCCCCCCCCCACACCCACCTACTTTCGACGGCTCCCTCCAAAATGAAATGCATATACGATGATGCAAAAACGTCCATGCATCAGAAGTCAGGCGGACTGCACTCACCAGCAGCAGTAGGACCTCATGTGCGCCAGCAGGATGAAAATGTAGAAGCGAACCTCCCAATGCACGAACATGCTGACAGGTGACGAAGGAGATGGAGACTGGAAGAGCTTCTCCTGCAAAACTGGACGAGGAAGAGGAAGAGGAGGATGAGGAGGGGGCGCTCTGAAATGGAGCCACTCTCTTCCTCAACAAGAGATTATCTGCTTAATTAAAGATTGCCCCCCCCCCCCGACCCCCTTCCGCCTTCTTCTTACCCTCGCGGCCAATCCCAAGAGTCGCAGCGGTGAGAGGAGACCCGAGATGATCAAAAAGGGGCAGCCCGGGCCTCGAGGGACGATCTACTTCGTCTGCGACTAAAGGGAAAAAGTGCAACGCTAAAAAAACAAAACAAAAAAAAACCAAAAACAAAAAACATCGAAGCGGTTGTCAGGGGGGATTTAGGGACGTACATGTTGGCTTGATAAAACACAAAATGTGTTTGTGATTCAATCAGTAATGGCGTCGTTGCGTCAAAGTATCACAGTCGTCGAGTTGGGGTTTTTTTTTTCGTTTTCGTCTAATATTTGCACGCTGTTCAGAGGGTCGTCGTGCATGTGATGAATTGGAAAATAGAAAAAAAATAATACAGCCGATCATCGGTTTACGACGGAGCTCCGATACTGGAACATTATTTCTTGGTGTAAAAAGCGTTCGGGTTTTTTTTCGGGATGTTATTTTTACGTTTTTAAAACGGTCAATAGTTTGTATTTTTTTTTTATGTTAAATGTCATTATCAAAATAAAACTATTTATTCTGCTGGTAAAATGACTTAATCATTTGCATTGCGTCTTCGGTTTAGAACAATTTAGCTGAACTTGATTTATTTCTTTATTTTAAAAACATGAAGATCATTAAAACCGGATCAAATAGTTTTTGATATTTGGAAAAAAAAAATCAATTTCCAGAATTAAAATGTTTTATATTCTGGTACTTATTAGCCACAGTGTCCCCATTGTAAGGCTATCAGGCGATTTAAACTTGATCCTTTAACAAATCTTGTTTAAAAAAAAAAAGTTCGTTCATATCGTTTATTTATTTATTTATTAACATTTGTCCATCCCTGTAATGACTTTTATGGTTTATATTCATGTTGCAATTTAGCCGGTCGTCCTCGATTTACGAAAGAATTCAGTTCATACTGCGGCAAAGTAAACCGAGTTTGTGTGCAAATCGGAACGCGTACCACAGACAACGAAGTCAAGACAGAATAACAGAAGGAAGACAATCACTTTTAGATCATATAATTAATTATTTTAAAAGATCAAATGGGGGGCCGAGGGGGCGTGTTCAAAAAGAAAAATCAGCGTATTCGTAACCTCGAATCGACGTACGTCGCGACCGTAGTGGTCTGTCAATCAGCATCGACATTTGACATTTGCATCCCAAAGAGGGGCCAATTCATGCGCCTAAATAAATCCCGCCATGCATGCAGGTCTCTCTCCGTGGAAATACAACCTTCTTGTGTGCAAATTAGGATTAGGACAAAATACTTTCAAAGGATGTTTTTGGATTAAGATACAAAGACGAATGCTCTAAAGAAGGGATTCATCCTAATCTCTGTGCGTGTGTGTGTGTGTGTGTGTGTGTGTGTGTGCGTGTGTTAAATGTATTGGAAAAGAAGATGTCAGAAGATAGAAGATGGCCACTTCATTAGGTACACCCGAGTGAATGGAAATATTAGAAACATGTTTCTTGGAATCTTATGTTTACTAAATTACGTTACTTACGATAGATTTATCACTACCTCAGTTTTTTTCTTTTTTTTACCCTGGGGTAATTCCAAAATCGGAGGACAAATTGGAGGCACCAAGGTTTTTTGTTTGGACCGTTTTATTTTGTATTTTGTTGTGTCCAAGAAAGGCATTTAGTAAATCATCACATAATTTGATTCGTCCATCTTAACCGTTAAACTTTTTCATTTGATATTTTATTTGACACTTGCTATTTTTGGCCGAACCCTGCAGGCACCTACTCCAGAATATACCCTTGACAAGTATATAAGTACACATTTGGGTAGGGGGCGGGGGGGAGTAATTTATGACAACAAATTACTATTTTGTGCTGCATTCTTTCTTTATTTTCTCTATGTGTCCACTGAAGACGGCATTACAGGATTTGGCCCAATGCGTTTAAGTTTTTTCCCGAGAAATAACGCAATTTGTCCAGGAGAGGGCAACTGTAGCTCACAGCACCGTAGGCCTCCTATACAATTCCCCGCCTCCTTTTTGTCACTCTATCTCATTCCACCGTGTTGAAAAACGACTCGTTCAGTTGGCAGCTGCTTTGACGACCAATGGTGACACACTGGCTGCACCGCGGCCAACTGTCAAACGAGGAATGTCCAACAACCGAGACGGCGTGCGGCGCTATCTGAAAAATGCCCAATGAGATCGTGACGCATGTGTGCACAATTCTTTTTGGCGTGTGCGTGCGACAAACAGGAGTTGTCCCGATGGCAATCGCAAGGTTGAGGACGGGACACTCAATTAACGTACAAGATGTCCCACAAAAACGTACTGCAAGGCTGAAAGGAGAAGAGAAAAAAAAAAGCACTGCACGCGTGCGTAAGTGTAGTACGACTGTGTCTTAATAATCACGTTTTTCTCACGACTAATACTAATAATTTAGCTGACTTGTATGCAATTAAAATTCTAGAGTAACACTAACTATTTATTTGCCGTAGGTTTGGGTCTCTGTGCCTACTCGTAAGGCAAAACCGTCCAATCGTTGACAAATGTGTGCTGCTAGTACTGTACTACCAAAGTTCATCACCCACATTTTTGATGTGTACACAATATTAATAATATGAATTTCATCAAAGGGTAATCCTAGCATTCCAAATGTAAGGTAACCAAATTTCTCAGGTATGAAATTATGTTTATTATAACAGACATTCAGTGAAAATTTCTGCCATTTTTTTGTATCAGTTAACCCTTTAAAAAAACGTCTAACTATCACTTACGAGTCACGTCCAAATCGATGTAAGAAAGCAATGATGATACAACACCATTCTATTTGGATGATTTGTACTTCTGGTTGTATTAGTAGATCACCTTTGTAAGACATGACCCCCACCCTCCCCCCTCCCCCCCACACGTGACTCCGAGATGTTTTGCAGCAGTGCATTTCTGACTGACAGTCTTATCTGAGGGCAAACAATTATCTCTAAATCAAAAATAACAGCATAAATATATAAGGGAGAGGTTCCCGTGCGTGCGTGTGCAGAAAAACCCATTGACTCCCTACCTCCAACCACAATGCGCTCATTGTGTTTCATTCTCCCAAAAGACGACAAACGTGAAGCGAGTTGGTTCAGATGACTTTTTTACAATAGACAAGCATGTCGGAATTAAGAGGCGTGCGACTTCAATGTTGTGGTACCACGTTGCACCACAACAATGCACTGAATGACCAGATACTCGAAACGCGACCTGTTAGAAAAGTGATCAGAGTAAGTCAGTACCGCGCAGTGTCTCCTAATAATCATCATCATCATCAAAATAATGCGTACTCGACGTTGCGGCTCAGCCACTTTTAACGCTGCCGTCGCCCGTCCGCTGCACGCGGGCCGCTATCATCTCCTTGGATGCCGACCGGCGCTCGCAGGCCAGGCGCAGGAAGCACATGAGGTCGATGAAGGCGGTGGTGAGGTTGAGCCTGCAGCCGAATTCGCTGGTGGCGTAGTCGAAGGGGAACGTGTGGTGGTAGTTGTGGAAGCCTTCGCCTGGCAAAGGGACAGCGAGAGTCAAGAACGCCGACTCGGTGTGGAGACGTTCACAACAAGCAGTACAGTACAGTCTTTCACTACGATGTATATGTAGGAATACAAACAATGGAGCAACACGTGTAGACAGACAATAAAACAGTATATATGTTTACATAAAACAGAAAAATGAAATGAAAAAGAGCAGAGGGAATAATGAATCTTGTTTTTTTTTTGCCCCTTTCCACATAAAGAGAAAAAAAATCAAAATGACTTTTACTTATTCTCCAGATCACTGTCGAATCATAATTTAATTTTTCATACTTATTTAATACCCTCGATGTAATAAGCTTTTAAAATATATATTAGTCAAGATTGATTCTTTTGTTTCTGTTTAAGTTGTTCCATAACAGAACATTTTTCACTACGATACTTCTTTCCGTCACTTGTAATTAAATATTTCATACTTATTTAATACCCTCGATGTTATAAGCTTTTAAAATATATTAGTCAAGATTGATTCTTGTGTTTCTGTTTAAGTTGTTCCATAACGGAACATTTTTCACTACGATACTTCTTTCCGTCACTTTAGGTTAAATTATTGGCATTGTACTCTATGCCGTTCAATCGAGGTCTTTGTCAGGCGAGCAGAGGTAACACTTTGTTCATGGAACGGAGTGGCATGCTCGGAACAAGACGATATTTTCACCGCCACCACGAAACAGGTGTTCAGCTTTGGTAGCGCTTGGTAGTAAGTGTCAAGTCGAGTTTGCTTGGAAGCCAGAACAAAATTGAAACAGTGTATACATTTGCAGACACATAAAGAATGTGATTAGTGGAAATTTGACTTCCATTTGCAACTAAATAGCTTTAGGAAAAGCAGATTGTGTAAAGCCTAGAAAAAAAAAAGTGGATGTTATTGTAAAACACAAAGTTTGTGTGCGACAGTCGAAACCATTTTGAGTAATTCTTCACAGAGGACAAAGAATATACTCAACTCAACTGTATTTATAGAGCACTTTCAAACAGCCATCGCTGCATACAAAGTGCTGTACATGGAGCAACATAGTGGATGTTTTTGTAAAACACAAAGTTTGTGTGCAACAGTCAAAACCATTTTGAGTAATTCTTCACAGAGGACAAAGAATATACTCAACTCAACTCAACTGTATTTATACTTTCAAACAGCCATCGCTGCATACAAAGTGCTGTACATGGAGCAACATACAATACTGCATGTGTTACTCCATTGTTTGCGTTCAAATCTCAGTACCTTAAAGGGTTAAACCATCGCAACAGCGATGCTATTTGTTAGCTTGTCGACGGCGTTCTGCATCGTTCGTTAGCATGAAACTAAACAAACTTATCTCAAAGCTACGTCATTGGGTTCAATACACAGTGTGTTATTCTCTTTGGTTGATGTTTAGTTTGACAGTGGGGGTGGCAATAAAGACCTTGAAGCCTCTTTTTGTTCGTCCAAATGTTCACAATCTGCCAGCCGAAGCAAAAAAAATCAATAAATAAATGGCTAATCGACACCTTGTAGGTCTGAAAGAATTGTATCTCAAGCGACGGCTGTATGCGAATGTCGCCGAGAGTTTTCCCACCTATGGCGCTGAAGGCGACGATCCTGTTCTCCCTTGGGTTGATGGTGTGGTCGTACGGCCTGTTGCCCCACATGTGCGCGGCGCTGTTGACCAGCCAGGTGGCGTTGAGCGCAACGGTGTACCTCAGCAACACGGGCAGGAAGTAGCCCACCAGGAGGGACTCGCCCCAGAAGTACCAGGGCACCAACATGGGCACCAGGAAGCACAGGATCAACACGGAGAGCTTGTAGTGCCTGAAATCAATCAATCAATCGACGTCACGGCACGGCGCCATCACGCAGCAAATCTGACGTTCATATCCTAACACGAGCGGTACAAGAGTGTGAGAGCGATAACACCAAATTCAACACCGCTGCTCTCCGAGAATGAACAATGGCTAATTGTGTCCAAGTTTGACGTTTTCACATCGGGGTGTTGTCGCTTTTGTTGCCTGTGGATTAGATGTTAATGGCCTTGCGCATACGATATTTATGGCACAAGTGAGCGATGATGAATATTTTTTTATAGCTGCTTTTGCTCCGAACTAATACGTTCGGATTATAATTTTGTTTTTTTTTTAAACGACCGGACTAAGTTCTCCTTACCGCCTTTGGAACATGACTACTTTATCGGCTTTCAGGTCAGACAGCTCCACTTTTCGGCCCTTCTCCGTGACATCGGGGTGCTTGCGAACCAGCAGCCAGCCGACGTGGGCGAAGAAGAAGCCCCGCTTTGCGTTGTGCGGGTCAGCGTCCGTCTCCGAATATTTGTGATGGACGCGGTGGTCCCTCGCCCACTCGTAAATGTCGTTCTGCGTGCGAGAACAGATCGGTTGCATGATTTAGAATTATCGTAACATCGATTCAAATTTATGTTCGGACAAATTTGGCTCTGGTAGCGTTAAACTCATGAACACTCGAAATTAAATGATTGGCTTGAAAACAAGGGAATAAAAAAATAATGTCAATGCACACTTCACGGGTAGAGAAAAACGAAATTTACTAAACAGTAACAACTCGTTCAAGAAACGTAAAAAAACAATGACCAAGAGAGGGCGACAGAACGGGAAACGGATTTTTTTGGATGATTCATAAAAATAAGGAAGGCAGAGGCGGGAAAAAAAACAAAAAACAACTAGTTCCAAGTTATGCTCCTAAAAAGGGAGGGGACTGTATGGGTTTGGAAAAAAACACATTTGAATGTTTAAATATAAAATGTTTGATTTTCTTTTGTTTTACGGGTCACGTTTAGGTAGATTAAGTCCAGTAAGTCCTCACTGAGGGTCCAGGTACCGAAGGCTCCACCCATCATTCCCGTTTATTGTGCTCACGACCATGATATGTTAAATTCAGACACATTTCATGAACACGCATGTGTTTATGACATTAACGCCGTTTCTTCGCCACCATCTCTTTGCCGTTGCGCCTTCACTGTGTCAGCGAGTTTTGTACCTGGAAGGCCATTGAGTTTGCGAGAGCCAGGAAGACCCTGAGGGCCGGCGAAGCCTTGTAGGATCTGTGGCTCCATAACCTGTGCGCACCCGCCGTCACGCCCAGGGCGCTGAAGAAGAAGCACACGGCAGCTGGCGGAAAGAGAAATGACAAAGTCTCACTGTTGGACCGAGATTGGGACTGGCTATGAGGTCAGGTGTGCAGTTTGTTGTTGTCTGGGCGCGTCGGGCGCAAGCATTCAGGGGCCCATCTGGCAGGCAAAGACGAATTGTGTTGTGGTGCCACGCGGTCCACAATGGAATGTCTATGGGAGTGCTGATTGTGCTTTGTCTTCCGCTGTGAAATAATGTGCAGCCCGGCATTGCAAAGACAAGGGGGAGGAGGGCGGT